AAATGTGAAAGGTTTGGTACCGTAACTGCAATTTTCTCTAATTTTTATTACAATTTCTATCCGAAAAAAGCGAATTCTAGATAAGAATTGAAATTTTGAAATTCTGTTGTACATAATTAAGTAAATTCCTAACAAATTTTTGTGGTTTGTATCGTGAAGTAGCGTGCATTGTTGGAGACCAAGCTGACGTAGTTTTGCTATATTACCTGGGTCCATGTGGACTCAAAAGAGTGGTCTTCATTTATTGACGCGTTCAGTTCCATTCCATATGACTGAGAGGGGAGAGAATCACAAGAATTATCACGTGTTTTACACATTTTATTTGTAGATATAATTGGTCAAATCTTTTTATCTATAAATTTCGCAATATATACTATTAATTTATCTATTACTCATATCAATCGATCTATAATTTAAACTGATTATAATCTATTCCCAACAAGAGCTTAGCTTATACATTAACTTTAATACTTCAAGAAGGGAATCCAAGTTAAATCAAACTTAATTTCATTCCAAAATAAAACCCTAAACTTTGTTGTCAGATGTTTCAACGCACCCAAGTTTGGGTACGATCACACTTTACTCACTGTACTTCAAATTATACCCCCATAACTCAATTTTAAGCCATTGCACTCCATTACACACCGAGTAAGTTCCATTTCTAACACGTGCCCACATGGATGACGGAATGTATATGTGATGGTAAACTCTCTCCAAAAAAAGAAATCAAATGCCAGCCCAATTAAAATGAAATCCTGAGCTCTCTCTCTGTGATGATATCGTGCATTTTCTCCAATTGAAATTGAAACTCCTAACAATATGAATGCACCCTAACCCCAAATCGAATATCCACCACAATCGAAGGCTCACCACAACCAGAAAGCTCGGATTTTTAAGATTCGCACATGGAGGGACAACAAATCTCCAACCATTTTTTTGTTTCTTCTTTTCATTTGAAATATTGTCATTTTAGAAGTTAGAACCCAAAAGACCGATTCAATCAATGCTAAGGTGGGGGCGGAATTCAAAGTATGGTACTCAAGTATGCGATGCGCATATCATTTTTTAAGTTTGGGCTAGGGACCGCTAATGCACAACTCTTAATTTCGTTTCTTTTGGCTAAGGTGTATTCGGGAGTTGCAATTTAGTGAACTAGTATTTGATTTTTATTTTGGAGAGAGTTAACTGCCACACATACATTCTATCATCCACGTGGGCACGCATTAAAATAGAACTCGTTCTGTGTGTAATGAAGTGTAAACAGCCTAAAGTTGAGTGAGTAATTAAATGCAATCTAACGTAAAGTAAATAAAATATGATCATTACCAAAATTGGGTGTGTTGAAATGCTTAACTCAAAACTTTGTTTTCAGTTTCAACGTTTAACCGACATCTGTCAGGCAGATGACAGTAAATCATAAGTATAATTCTATTTGTATCGAAAATGGTGTACCGAAAATGTGACACACTCTCACATGTGCGTGGGACCCGCTTGTATAGATAAAAGATTAGGTAAAAAAGATGGTATACATGTATCATTGGCCAAATCATAAATTGCATTAGGGACTGTGATATTTGACTTTGTACAGAGCCGTCATTTGGAACCAACTTGTGAGCCTATAAATTTTTTTGTTATTCATTGCGGTATTTATTTGCAACACTTCAACATGAATAAATTCTGAGCTTAAAAATAAGTAAAAATTATTTTAAGTAACTTTATATTTACAAACATATTTTAAAAAGCTGCTTTTTTTTTTAATAAACTCATACTTATTATCAAAATAGTAACTTATATTGAATTTTGAACATAGAAAACTTATTTTTGTTTGAACCTATTTACTTTTACATAAGCTTTTCTACATTTGCCAAACATGCTCTATCCTATGCCACGATGAGGTTACAAGAGGAACGGTCCTTTTTGAGTTCTTGAGTTAATGTGCTAGAGAATAAGTTATCGAGTTGATCTAATTTTCAAGAAGATAAACAAGAAGGCTGAAACTTAGTGATGGCAAAAAAGCTCGTCGGCTCGGTCGGGTTGGGCTCGGTAGAACCGAGCCAAGGCTCTGGCCGGCCCTTAACAAAAAAAATTAAAATGAAATTTTTTTAAAAGAGCTGCCAGTGCAAAGGCAGCATGTTGCTGCCTGCAATAGGCAGTAATTAAAAAAAAAAAATCCAAGAAACCCGAGCCGGCTTTGGCCGAGCCTCATTTTTTTGGCCGGGCTTTGCTCGGCTTGGTTTGGGCCAAAAAAAGTTCGGGCTCAATTTGAGCTTTTTTTTTCGACTTCGGCTTAGCTCGACTCGTTGACATAGCTACTTGATGCAGGAGGGTCCGAGTC